AACTTCAGATGCAGCAGTTTCTTCCTCTGGAGAATGATCCAAGAACTCATGAAGTTTTGTCACCAGTGCAGTCAGCTTGCTGGATCTAAAAGGGTACAAAGACAAAGACGTAAATCTCTAATTGAAACAAATTCAACTCTTAGTAATTCTTGGTTTTATCACTTTGACTAAATTAGTGGTAAAGTTAATTACGCTGATAGCCATGAAACACACTATGGGAAACCAAAAAGGAAATCGCATTTTTTTTTTTAAAAAAAAGGATGTAAACTATAAAAAGCAGCAAAGTATTTATCATCTAATTAAATTTGCACACGAGTTGCAAAAAAAAAACAACAACAAAAAAAAACTCCAAGTCCAAATAGAAGACAAACATGACTGGACAAAATACCTTAGTGCTATAATCCTGGAAGTGCTATACCATTTGCAAGAAACACTTCCTGTTACATATTTACATTTCCCGCAAGGTTGAAAGAAGGAAGAAAAAAAATCATACTTATCCAGCAATTTTGGTGGAACATCTTAATAAAAGCTAAGAGATTTTCACACCACATTTGCATTTCCAGTCAGCAAGCATGCAGGAACATGAACAAGTGGATTTCATATATTTCATAAGAGGTTTTTTTTTTTTTTTTTAAATTGAAATAAGCCTTTTGAGTACTACTGTTTGACACCGCAAACCTAGATTATTGTGACATATTGTGTGAAAATGACAAAATCTTGCCATAATTAGGCCTGAGAATCACGTTATCGACTTATCATATGATATACGGACATGACCATGACTCAGTCGTTCTTACTGACCTCGATATTGCCCAGTGCGTTTACATGCATGTTTGCTTACATAAGAATCAATGTCACCAACATTTCAGCCATTCATGTTGCTTCTGTCCTATAGTCTGTTCTAGGGCTGTCAAATTATATTTCGAACTTCAAATATTCGTCATATTTGAGCTAAAGATGTGCATTCGAATTTAAGATATGTAGCAAGCACTAGTACCGATTTTAGTTAAAACAGACTGTTGAAAAAAATGACACGCAAGACATTAACAATGCATTAATGCTTTTTTTTGAAGAAGAAAAATCTAGAAAGAACAGTTCTAGTGTGTCATATAATCCAGTCCTAGTCAATAATGTTGGGGATTGACCCACTTAAGCTTCATGAGCTGAAGCTGAACAGTGAATTAGCACTGGTAAACGTTACTAGCAGGTTAACTAACTCAACCAAATCCATCCTATACACATATCAGACATAAACACTACAATAAACGTAATATTACAACTTTCTCTGGCACAAAATGACGTGAATGGACAAGTGAACTTGAACTTAAGTAAGGCACTAGGTAGAATGGTGTCACGGTGTGAATACACTCTTCCCCTAACAACCCACTAAAACACAGACAATGAAGAACTGAAGCATAAAGAACTCAACATTATATGCATTGTAATGTCATTTTTTCAGATCATCAGGTTTTTAGAAGAAATGCAGTTTTCACATGTTTTTGTTGATACATGTTTAAGTTAATATAAAATATGTGAATATTTGGTTTAATTTTTGCAAAAATGCCACTGACTAGTATTCAATGCCATTTTAGTCAGAGTAAAATTGACTAAAATTAAAAATATTGACTAAACGTAAAGGATATTTTCATCAGAAGGCAAAAACTATGACTAAAAACAGTGTGAAAATGAACACTGGAACTGGCCTACGTTAAATTTTTTCATAATTTTATGCACGTTAGTTTAAAAACAAGTGCACTTTGTTAACAGGCATGTTCTTCGCAATAATCAATTCAACACAGCGCTGTTTGGGTTGTATTTATTCGTCGCGCCCTCTTGTTGACTGTTGATGTAAATTTTTAAAGTCTGAATATTCTTAACAGTTAAAAGTTCATTGCTGTTTGAAAGGGTGTATTTGCATCATTCTGCATTTATATTATCATTATGTCAGTGGAATAAAATGGTCTTAAAATGACAATAATATCGTTTATCGCAATTATCTCTGGGACGATATATTGTCTAACAAAAGTAGTTATCGTGACAGACCTAGGCGTAATGCCCGTTTCTAGCTCAAGTGCTTCACTGGGATCACGATCAGGAGCATTAGTGATTAGGACTAATTAAAGTGAATTTAAATGAATCTCATCTTAAGCAGATATTGTAAAATGATGAATGATGAAAGTAGATGAACGTCCAGCTTGTACATAACCAGGTTTCGGTTATATTATAAATAGTAACAGCAACTAAAACAGAGAAATTTAAATTAAAAGGAGGCAAATCAAGCAAAAGTGTGGGTCATATTAACAATACAAAATAGCCTTTTAAAACTCATGCAAAAAAATTATACAGAAATAGATATAAGCCTTTTATTTTATCTTTTCATCTTAACTGTTTCTGAGCAGGACTATGAGTTTAAAAACATACAGTACATGTTTAGTTACTTTTTAATTTAGTAAAAATCTGATAAGTAACTAGTTAGAAGCTGCACAGCAAACTGTCATTGCACATATCAGTGAGTATCGTGTTACCCAGTTAGCAACCACCAAGAGCATCTCTTTCGACAGCTCGGGCTCGGTCCTAAACACCTGCCTGCTCCCTTTATACATGCCCTACACTGTGAGTGAAAGAAAAGTGGCTTTGACGCCCTAACTAGTGCACTACCCATCCTAAAGCGACGTATATGGAACTCACAGCAGTCAAACAGCTAGCACCAGCTAACTAGCTACTGGATGAAACAGCCGGCTGATACATTATGACTAAAACACTGAGAAACATTGAATAACCTGCTTTTTAAACAATGTTGCACCGACTTATTTACTACTCTGGCCGGGTTTTAGCACTGTGCTAACCACGGAGTGAAAGAAAATAGCTCATGTTAGCTAGCGGGCTAATTCTTCAGAACTCATTCATGGCAGTCAGATAACGTTTAATGTGTGCATTAAGAATTGATAACAGCTAACACTTAATAAGAGTGCAGATAATTAGCACGGGGATGGAAGGACATTGAAGGAAAAGAAACACGGGAAAGCCTCATAGTCGTTTAAAAAGGAAGTCAGGACATCAAAGGCCTTGTCTTTTTCAGGTAAAAAAAAAAAAAAAAAAGGCTGAAAATCGTGAAGTCGCCCTGTGTGTGTGCCGTGCATTCATCCTGTTCATGACCCACACACACACACAGAGAGTACAGTACAGTGCAGGACTTACATGCTACTTCTGTGCAAACTAATGAAACCTGACTGTAATGTTTTACCTTGCTATGCTGATCTTACAACTTACATTGCACAAAAACCTGAGGCTGTATATAGTCAGTAACACATCTCTCTCTTTCTCTCTCTCTCTCTCTCTCTCTCACACACACACCTCTCACCACCACTGCTGCTGCTGCTCTCACAAATGAAAAATTCAAAATTTCCCTCCGTTGTCCACAGACAGCTAGGTTTTGTGTACACGTGTGTACACTCAGGCTGCTTGTTTCCTCTTACAGAGCGCTAATGCTGCTGCTGCTGCTCCTCCACGAAGAGCTGAGGACACAAAGCAAGAGCGCCATCTTGCCGGATGACTCTGGCGCGCTAAAATGGCGCAGGCTGCGTTCACCAAGGCGCTGCACACTAACACAGCCAGTGTGGGCTCGATGGACGTTTTTTTTTTTTTTTTTTTTTTTTTTTAAATTTAAGTGTGTACGTTTGCTGTGATACAGCTGCATGTATAACGCGTATTAGTATTATTTTTTTATGAGTATTATGATTATTATTATTTTAGCTTGAGCGGTTACATCACTATATTATTATAGGTGAACATGCAGCAGCTTTGCCGGCAGCCCTGACACACTTTATTATACAGCTAAATTCAGAATTTATCACTCAAAAATGAGTAATTTAGTTCATTACACAGCTTGTTTACGTTTAGACAATGTTCAGGTCTCTTAATAAAACGCAAACCAAAAGCTAGAAATAGAGAAAAGAAGAGAAGAGGAGCTCCACACACAGGCGCTATTTGAGTGTTTATATATTTATATAGCGCCCCACTTAGTTTCCAAGACTATTAAAAAACACGTCAAGACACACTTATTGACTTATTCGCCAAATCGTGCTTTAAAATACCCTCCTATTTTACTCATATTATACCCTCCCGAGTGTGCGTGTTGGGCCTAATTCTGTGCTTTCGCCCCGCACCGGTTTCTGCTCAGGCTGTCTAAAGCAACACACCAACCCACAGGGAGGAACACGTCCACTTGTGCACATACCTGCCGCTTTCGGTGCTCATTTCCTTACAATAAGGAACACACAAGATCTTAGCATCTCCGGAGTAAAGCAAATTATATTCGTTTTACCGTAAAAAATAGGTGGAAGGAGGAAAAACCCGAAGCTACCCAGTGAAATCAAACAAAGCAAGGCGCCATGTTTTCCGAAGGCAAGAGACACGCTGATTGGCTCGTGCGCCTCAAACCAGGAAGTGAATCTCATTGGCTGACGAATATCAGCGACGCAACGCGGTTCTCGCGGCTCAGTCCCAAACAGCGCCAAGTTACACATCCACTCAGTCAAGTGAAGTGAAGTGAAGTCATGGAGCACAGGAACACTGAACAACTCGGATCATAACAAATTAAAAGATTTGTGTACTACATAAGGTATGGAAACTGCCTTATACAATATTAACTATCCTATAAAAGGCAGCGTTCATTTAATTTTTATGGTCCTTAGTCCAAGTAGTTCAATTTTACTAGTCTTTATTTACTGTGACTGCTTTACAAAATTGGGCCAATAATCCATACATTCATCTATTTTCTGTACCGCTTATCGGACAAAGGGAGCCTGGAGTCTATCCCAGGCGACTCAGGGCACAAGGCAGGGGACACCCTGGACAGGGTGCCAACCCATCGCAGGGCACAATCATACACACATTCACACACACTACAGACAATTTGGAAATGCCAACGCATGTCTTTGGACTGGGGGAGGAAACCAGAGTACCCAGAGAAAACCCCTGAAGCACTGGGAGAACATGCTTGGCAGAGGCAGGATTTGAACCCCCAACCCTGGAGGCGCGAGGCAGCAGTGCTAACCACTAAGCCACCGTGCCCCCTATTTAGCCAATAATTTTGTAATTAAATAAAACAAAAAACTCTAATAAAGAAAAATGTGTGGAAAGTAAAAAGTACACCTTTTTATTCAAACAGACTTAGCAAAACAATGATTTTCATTTACAATACACTGCCATGTTTTATTGCCAATCATTGGAAACTTAGACGAAAGCTCTTCTCTTGCTCCTTACTGCGGCTCTCACACAGCTTGGACACCTCCTCCACACGCCTCTGAAGCAGAACTGTATATTGAAAATAGTCATTAGGGACACCAAACACAATATTTCACAACATAACACTTAAATAAAATAAAAATAAATCTAGGAAAATACTGACCGGAGTTTTGCTCGACCCACTGCAGAGAGTCCATGTGTGCATTGAGGATTTTGCAGATCTGCTGGAGCTGAAATGGTAAAATTAAAATTATAAAACAGTGGCACACTAAACAGGACAAATGCTAAACTAGACTATACTAACAAGAATGAAAGCAGCACCAACATTATGTAAAATAAAAATGCCTGACACCTTAATGCTTAATGACACCTTAATGACACCTTCTGCAACAAAGCAATATTATTTATTAGCTTTTTTCCATTTAAGGATTCATAATTTAGGGAGTGTGTGTAACTGAATGAATAATCATTTTTATATTGAAATCTTGAAAGTCACAAGTTAAAGTAAATTAAAAAGGGAAATTTAACCCAACCACCACTGTAGCTACACTGATGTGGAAAAAGTTTTTAAAATGTCAAATATCATATGTATAATTGACCGACTGCTCATAAGAACTCATGGATTTAGACAGTGAAAGAGAAAAAGTGGCAAATGAAATCGGTCCACATCAGGCATGGTTTGGTTGGGATGGTTTGATGGGATGATCGTGGGATGGTTGTTAGTGCCAGTAGGGCTGGTTTGAGTATTTCAGAAACTGATGATCTCTTTTTCACACACAACAGTCCCTGGAGTTTACACAGGAATGGTAATGGGGGGTGGGGGACACATACTGTGACTGCAGGTCTGCAGGCTGAATCACCTTGTTGATGAGAGAGATCAGAGGAGAATGATCAGACTGGTCTGAGCTGACAGAAAGTCTACAGTAACTCAAATAACCACTCTTTACAACCGTGGTGAGCAGAAAAGCATCTCAGAATGCACAACACATCACACCTTGAGGTGGATGGGCTACAACAGCAGAAGACCACATCAGTTTCCACTCCTGTCACACAAGAACAAGAATTTGAGGCTATCTTGGGCACAGACTCACCAAAAATGAAAAGACCATGTGATTTTTTTTTTTTTCCTCGAATCTTCAACTGTCCAGTTTCTCACGTGCCCAGTGTAGGTGCTTTTGGCAGTGGACAGGGGTCAGCATGGGCACTCTGACCGTCTACAGCTACGCAGCCCCATACACCGCAAGCTTCGATGCACTGTGTGTTCTGAAACCTATCATAGCCAGCATTTACTTTTTCAGCAATTTGTGCTACAGTAGCTCTTCTGTGGGATCAGACCAGACGGGCTAGCCATCGCTCCCCACGCACATCAATGAGCCTTGGGCGTCTATGACCCTGTCGCCGGTTCACCGGTTGAACACGTTGCATAACATGTAACATGGCCGTTCCCCAGGAAATGCCAAGCAACAGAAAAAACAATGTAGTGCCTAGATTCTAAGAATATGCAAATAGGAAACATGTCCAACGCTATACGCACCGTCCACTGCCTTTCCCTGGTGCTTGGTCTGGATTTGCATATTGTTACATGATGGATTAAAATCTTATAATGCAATAACACCTCCCTCTCACACGTTCAGTTAAATTCTCTGCTTCTTAAACCAATGCAGTCACACTCCTGCAGTGACAATTTTCAGTCTGAACACTATTCACAGAAATAACAGGGGTAAAAGTGTTTTATAAAGGAGAGGATGAGAGTAAGATAAATACCGGGTCACTTGTGTCGGCCAGGCCGTTGGAAGTATTGAGGTGCTCAATGATCTCCTTCAGATCTTGGGACATTCTCTTCAGCTGAGCATCAACATTTTCTGCCAACTTATACCTTCAAAAGATAAGCATTTTAAAAAGCAGCACATGCATGAAAATGCATCAAACTGCAATACTAAGTGTATTTATATAGGACATAAGCTTATCATTATCAGATTTCAGCCGTTATCAGATTATTCAAGAGGTTCTGTAAACAGCATAATTGGATATCTAAACTTAGACAAATTAAACAATGCAGAGTTTATCAGCACTGTTCCACTGCTCGCTTGATTAAACAGTTTAACTCCTTGTTAAACTCCTCCTAATATGGGTAATAATGTGCTGTTTTTCCCCCTGTGGCTGAATCCTAAAATACTATTCCCTCTGCTATAGCAAAGAGGATAGTGCTATGAATAATGTTTCACCTACAAGAGGTACATTGTCTAGGCTGTAATATACTTTATTTACATAGGATTTATTTATAATAAACCTCATCATCACCGACTTTTCCTTCTCCTTGCTCAAGTTGACACTGCTGCTCAACTGTCCTTTAATCTCTACTAGACATGATGTTGCTGAAACAGCCAATTAAATAAATCCTGCCTTAAATGTATAACATGACTGTAAACTTGAGTTTCCCTTTATCAGATTACTGAAGTGCTTCTAAACCTGGAAAACATTACACTAAAAAAAAAAATCTGCTTTCTTGCACTAATCAGACTACTCTATACATGTAAATGCACTCAGTATGACATTTCTTCAAAAATGCAGAGATGGATATAGTACTAAGGGTGGAAAGGAAAACCTCAAGTAGAGTAAGTGAAGAGTCGAGTACAAAAAATAAAACAAACATTAAATACACATCAGTTTTGCATCACGTGAAGCACTGAAAGGATTTGTAAGTGAGGGATTTGTTTACGTTCTCTCTCGCTCCTCATCAGCATTCTGCATATAGATGGTTCCACTTTGCTCCTTCACCGACTCCTCCAAGGGAGCGAGAAGATCCTCCAGCTCCTTTTGCTGCGACAGAATAAAGTCCAACTCCTGATCCAGCCTGAAGTAAGAACCCAAAAAAAAAATAAAAAATTTAAAATATATCACACAAGACCTTCAGACATAACTCTGTCTACAAATATGCTAACTCTGGCAATCTTACCTTCTTTGGTCCAGTTTAACCTTCTCCATGTCCTTATGAAGGGATGTAATCTGAAACCGCACACTTCATGTTAAAAGCAATAAGATGCCAAGATGTCTTTTAATTTCATATTCTCAAATGGCTAAAACAGAATGCAGTACATTTTTAATCCAGTTCTTTCACATATCACTTGTCTAAGGTAGAAACTGGAGTGCGCCTATGTACGGGGTTTTACTGGAACCACCACACGCTTGGGGATAAAGCTGCCACCCATCTGTTTTAGTTGAGATACACAGACACTAGTAAACATTTACATGCACACTTGCAGTGCTTCTGTGAGTCAAACTGGGATCTATTAAGCAGCATTTCATTATACTGCCCATATGATTTTCCAAGATTTTCTTTTAATAACGATGGAGGGCGAACATTTAAGAACACCCAAAAAACACACAAAATGGACCTCATTTATCAATCTTTTAGTAAAGTTGTGTGTAAAAGTTTTACTTAAGTCGAAACAAATTAAAATGCTCTGCCGGATTTACAAATGTTTCGAAAACAATTGTTCTTCGGACATGTGTGTGTATGCTGATCACATAAAGTGCAAAGTGCGTTCTTGATACGGCTCATTTGTAGGAGCCTATAGCAGGCGACTCAGGGCACAAGGCAGGGGACACCCTGGACAGGGCAAAATCACACACCCATTCACACACTACAGACAATTTGGAAATGCCAGTCAGCCTACAACGCATGTCTTTGGACTGGGGGAGGAAACCGAAGTACCTGCAGGAAACCCCTGAAGCACTGGGAGAACATGCAAACTCCGCTCACACTTGGCAGAGGCAGCAGTGCTAACCACTAAGCCACCGTGCCCCCCGCACTTGAACTTTTATAGAGTTTACCCCGTGACCCTGTGTAGGATAAGCGATACAGAAAATGGATGGATGGATGGAAGTTCAACTGCACAGAGGGCTGGGAGCACAAAATGTACACTGGGGCAGAAGTGGAAGTTATTTTGACTCGAAATGAACAATGAGTGTAAAGGCTGAAAGGCAGAAGTTGAAGCTATTTTGACTTACTTATGTGTATTTGGGCTTCCATGAGCTGTTCTTTAAAGCTCTACATTAATTTAACATCATGTTTGTGTGAATTATTTTGTTCTGTCCTCCAGGATCCATAAATATTTTTGCCATTTTGGCACTAAAAAATAAATAAATAAATAAATAAAAATACACTCCACCTAATGTTTGGATCTGTATTCGTATTGGACGCAAACCATGTAATGTATACAGTTACGTACCTAGTTTCTACATCTTAAATAAAACAGATGAGGGGCAGTTCAGAGTTTATATACTGACCGGCTGAAAGATTACTAATGTGAGATGAGAGGGAAGGGGTCGGGGCTTCCAGCAACTGTCAGTTATTGGGGAGGAAAAATGGTGACTGTTCTGGCATATCTGTAAGTGATAACTCCTAGTGGTGTACTGCTGTGTTAAAATGTGTAAAGGCTGGCAGCTCTGCTAGTGTAGCGAGCTACCTTTTCTCCATTCTCCACCAGCATGCGGTCCCAGGCGTTGACCTGAGTGGCCTGCTGCAGGAAGTGTCTCTCTTGGTCCTCCAACTCTGAGCTCCACTTGTTGATCAAAGACTCCAGCTGGGCATATGACATCACTGGTTCAGCACTGAATAGACACATTGCCAAATGTTTAAAAGAACAGATAAACAAAATGGAAAAACAGCACCATTAAAAATGCTGTAAAATATCAAACGGTGCTAACCAAATCCTTTAGAACTCATCACCGCATTGTATCAGTAACTACTGCATGTTATGTTATGTACCACACCTGGCAGTAACTGCAGCAGTGGACACGGCTATAGAAGTGGCTGGTGCAGC